CAGGAAAGCTTAAAAAGGAACTTTTAAGAATTGGCAAAAAATGATAAGGATTTTGAGAATATTATGACATTTGATATGTTTCTCTATGTGTATCCCTGTATCGCATCGAGGGACCCTCCTATTTATAGATGAAAGGGAGAGTCAATTTTGCTTATGCGTTTATTAGAGATTCTTGAAAGTTCGGGTCTTTAAACTGTTGCTATTCATGCTACAATTCATGGAGCAGGCTTACCTTATTCCATTCTCGCACTACCATGTGTTGCGCTTGAGGGGACATGTTATGTGACTCATAACCAAGGTTTTAAAATTTGATATGATACTCCCGATATGGGGCGTATTGTATCCTATCTTTTAAAAGCCAATACAAGATATGGTGAAAAATCGATAATATCATATTTTTCCACCGTATCAAATTGTATTGGGTCATATCAGGGGTGTGTATTGATGGATACGCTACGAAAAAGATACATGCAAAAATGGGAAAAAAAGGGGGTAAGAAAGCCTTCTTTCACCCCCAAATAAATCTAAAACTCCAAGCCTCATTCTTAGAGTGCTAGATATGTAAAATAACACAAGAAACAAGTGCAAATCATTAACGTTTCTTGAAGATTTTTCAAGTTTTGAAAAAATATGGCAAAAATAAGTAAGTTTTTTTTTCAAATTTTCATAATATATTGTGATTTCTTTTTTTACTGAAATCTAAAAAATGTTTAAATCTATGTTGATCTATATTTCTTATATTAAAAAAATAACTATTTTTTCTGTTATGAGTGGATTTATGGAATTTTTATGAAGAGATTTGGGAAAAATATAAAATAACAAAAAAAATTAAAAAATTAATTTTTTATTTGCCTATTAATACTTAATATGTTTTAGATCTATGGATTATCTATCACATCATAATTGAAATTTATTCTTCAATAATCTTTTTTACTTTTTAAATTTAAAAATAAATAATAATTAATTATACTTTATGAACTAATCACAATGATTGAATATATAATAGATATATGTATGATCTATCATATCCTAAGAGTAATTGAAATTTCTTCTTCAATAATTATTTTTTTGAATATATTGTACAATGCTTATTTGTTTTTATAATATTTGAATATAAAAAATAAATAGTAATTAATAAAAAATTATTAACAATATTTTCACTTAGAAGTTGTTCTAATGCATGCTTTATGGTTGGGTTTTTTCCCATTCCTTAAATCTTAAGAATTAGAATTTATAAATTATAGTTACACATAGTTTTTTTAATGAAATTATAATTAATTGCGATGTATTTCTTCATAAAATCATTAAAATATATTAATTTAATGTATGTATACCTCACTGAGGCCTTATATTTAGTGTTATTGATGCAATTTTTTTTTATGATTTATTGAAGTATTTATAGTGTTCCTATGCATATCTATTCGTGTCTTAATTTTTCTCCAATACACATGCATATCCAAGGCGTATCCCTATACGCCTCTTAAAATTGCCTTTCTGATACATTTATCGTTTCCGATACTTTGAACCTTGCTCATAACTGTTTGTCACAATCGCTTGTGTTCCCAGTTTTTGTTTTTTGTGAACATAATCCGTGAATTCACTTTTCAGCAAATCTGTGACTATTCTATTTCTCTTGCTTGTGTGTGTTTGTGATCTTCTTTTAAGGATTTTTCCTCTTTTAGGAGGTCCGCGGACTCGATTTGTGGGGCCTCAATCTTTAGTCCGTTGTGCTACTTAGGTTAGTCTCCTTACAATTAGTCATTTGGGATGGATTTCATGCAATAACTTTTGGTATTACGTGAACTAAGAAACTTGAAAGTTGTGAAATCATGTTTGGTAAAAACCCGAAAAGTCTGAAATAGACTTACAAAAGCCACAAAATCGACTTTTTAGTGAAGTTATCTCATGTAGCTTCTTCGAAGTAGCTCAATCAACACACTCAACCAATGTTGAAGCCCTGCCAAATAGACTCTTAACTCCTCCCAAAGCAGCTAAGTGAAAGCTACTCAATCAAAGCTAAAGCCCTTCCAAGCAAGTTGAAGCCAAGCCTATGCTTCTTCTTTTTAGGTCTTCTAGGTGGAACAACTTTGATTTGAAATACTTGTGCTAAGGGGTGCAACTTGGGTGGGCTTAGATTATGCTTCTGTCAAATTTTGAATGGGCCCAACCATCACTTTGAAAACCGGGTTGGACAAATAGTTGGACCAATTGACTTGGGAATCAGCCATGGCTCTAGGTCCAATTTTGGACTAAAAAATCATCTGACCAAGCTTTGGATTAGAAGGTTGGACTGTTTGACCTAGGAACCAATGGTCAAAGCAGTTCCATTTTCGATTTGGTTTTCAAAACCATGGGCCTAACTCGAAGTTGTGTAAAATGCTAACTTGGGTCTAAGTTGTACCTCTACTTGATGAAAATGATTAATAATGTACCAGATTTAAGTGAGTTGTTGGATAAGTAGAGATTGAGCTTGGGAATGCAATCTCATGACAAGCTTGAGTTAGGACCGAGCCATAAACCTCAACTCAGCTCTTTGGTTCACATCCTTCCATGAGACAAAGAGTATAGAGATGCAATTGGATATTCATTGAAGGGAATCAAGGGAGCATGTAGGCCCCTTTTTTATAAGTTTCCAAAAAAATATGAGCTAAGTTTATCGAGTTGGCATTGCTATTCACAAAAAAGTTTCTATGCCTATCTCATTTTGCCAGATCATGGGCTGGCATTACTAAGTCCCTGTTTATATACAGAATTGTAATATTATAAAAAAAAGAGAGAAGTTCAGATATGTGGTCATATAAGGCCTGTAGATCCCACATAATATGCCTGTCTGTTCCTTTCAGCTTCATCAATACCTCCTTGGCATCCGAAAGCAAAAAACCTGCTTTAATACCCATACAAAAAAACTTTCGTAAGCCTCTAATAACTACCCAGAGTAGTTTGTGTGGTGGCACTCCAGGAACCATCCACTAAGATGATCATGAGATTTGTGAGGAGAGCTTGTTGCAAATCCCAATGTGGTTGCAGATGTGGTGAATTCGAGATTTTGAGATCAATTTCTTTATAGTTGTAGTAACTTTCGGCCTTTCTCAGGGCCTAGTCTCACTTTGGTCCCTGAACTTTAAAACATGCAAATCTAGTGCCTAAACTTCCAAAATGTGTCAATTTAGTCCTTGTCATTAGCAATTCATCAGTTATCTCTATCACATTATGACATGTGCGACTTACAACTTTTGAAAATGTTAACATTACCCATCGAAATAAGACACTATTTATCATCTTCTTCCTCAAGAACCAATATTAAACCAAAGCAATATTGATTTATCAAATCAGTTTTTGACACACTACTTTTCTCTATCAAATCAGTTTTTGACAAAATAAATTTGAGTATGACGTTATCTAGATAGTTTTTTGGCGATATTTCCTTTTTCGACATCATCCTGTGTATTAGAACCAATGTGAAGAATTGTTAATAAAGAAAATTAGATGACACTTGAAGGGCATTTGTATCCTTTTACATGTCACTTAATGACTGGTTAATGATAGGTACTAAATTGACACGTTTTTGAAAGTTTAAGTACTTGGTTGGTACGTTTTAAAGTTTGGGGACCAAAGTGAGACTAGGCCCAAAGTACAGGGTACTGATTTTCAATTTTCCCACATATATATACATGTTTTATATATAAATTTATTAATGGAATTTATAAACATTTTCATTCCATTGAACATTTGAACCCTTAAATTTGGTTATAAATTCCAATGAAAGACGATTTTACAAAAATAATAAAATATATTTATAAATTACATTAAACCCAACAAACCTGTTCAGACTCAATCAATCCTGACTTGACCAAACCTAAGCCTGCCCTGATCAATCCTAAGCCACCAACTGATGGTGGCTTAGCAGCTATTTGGCATCATTGCCGTTTCCTAGAGCAACGATGCCACATCAGCGCCACATAGGAAAAAATGGTGCTCTAGGAAACAACCATATGTTTGGAACCGTTTTTTCATAGAAAACGGTGCTCCAAACCACGCATTGGAAATCGGGAAGGCATGGCTTGGAGCAACGTCAAATTTGGCGTTTCCTAGAGTTGCAGTTTGTTGCTGCCAATAGGGCAGTGATGTGGCACTGGATAATGGGTAGAAGTGCAGAAAACGTTTCTTGGAGCATTGGCACTAAACAAAAAAAGTTGTTGTTGCTCCAGGAAACGTCCTACCTACCAGTCACGATTCCAAACAATAAAAAATGCACAATTTTATAAGAAAACAGTACTTTCAACCCACACATCAGCAACATCAGAAAACGGTGCTGCAACTGCAGCATCGATGCCAAACATATACTTAATTGATAGGATCTTTAACTCGTTAGGGTCTCTACAGACCTGGGATCAAACCCCAATGCCACCCCGGTTTCTATAGCCCCATGAAGAAAAAAAAAAAAATCCTAAGCATGGCCTAAATTGTTTTAGGTTAAGTTTGGATTGGACCTGAGTTGGTAACTTCGAACTTGATCTCGGGTTGGGTTAGGCCTGAGCCTGAGATTTGTATCTTAGGGCTGGAATAGATTGGACCTAGGTTGACCCGATCCTCAATCCGACCCAATCCGCCCAAGTTACAAAAGTACCAAAACAGTAACCAAATTTGAAAATGTTTGATTTGGACATGCCGGGTCTGAGTTACCCGTTTGACACTCTGGAGTCCAGACACTCACCTGCTAGAAGAAGTAAAAAAAAAATAGAGAGGAATAAAAAGAGAGTTCGGATCTAGTCCTGACAGTGCGCGCCTCGTACCAACCTCACAGCATGTCAGGGCCGCACATCGGGAACATCTCCTCCTGTGAGGCTGTTGTGAGGCGCGATTTATGACGAACAGATCCTAATTCATAAAAAGAAGGCAAAATAGCATTTTTGTGGGGTGAGGTGAGGTGGGGTTCGAGAAAATTAAGTAAAAGCTTGCACATATAAAGACCAGTCAACTCAGAATCCTTATTAGCGAAAACGCGTTTTCAGAATATTATTACAGTCAAAGAGCCTCCTTTTGAAGGAGAAGAACAAGAACATCAAGTCATCGAGTATCTTACAACAACAACAACTACTACATCAGACACAGAAATGAAGCGCAGAAGCAACAACTCTTCTTGTTATCATTTTTCTCATTTTACTCGGCGATGAAAAATCTATTCTCCACACCTTCAACTTGGTATGGAAAACCCATCAACGACGTCGAGCTCAGCTGCTCTCGTCACGACCCTCTGCAACTCAATCCAGGCTCTTGGCCGAGGCTTCGATGTTACCTCGGATATTCGACTTCTCTACTGTAAGGGAGCTCCGGGGTCTCGTTTAGTTCACATCGACGAGAACAATACTAGGGATCTCGTAATAAATGAAGGTCTTGTTCTCCCCAATATTTCCGTTGACATTGGATTTTCCTCTGGGAAGAGCAGGATGGATACCAGAGCAGCCTGTAGCTTCCATGAGGTAATCTTCCGATCAATTTCGTTTATGGGCACTCGTTTTCTTGACTTGGGTCTGCTTGGGTAGTTAAATTATCTGCTGGGTCTGTTTCCTTTCTCTTATTATGGTGCCTCTGGGAGTTGTTTGAATTTCTGTATTCCTTTTTTTCCGTTCTTATTTACTCTGTTTTGCGCTCTTTGGTTTGAGGTTGTTTCGGGTCCTTGATTATCAGTTCGATTTTGGTATTATTTTCTCACTTTCTGGCGTTTTATACAAGTTTTTTCTTTCCCCCTCCCCCTTTTTTGTTGATTTCTTCATTTCTTTGATTTTTTCCATCAATATGTGCTTCTATGTTTAGATTCAAACGGAATTTGACATTATGCATGTTGCGAAGACTTAGATTGGTTTTGTTTCACAATGTCGAGGTCTTTGAATTTTCTCATGCTTCAGCTTTTGTACCTAGCTATTCCTTTTTATTTTTTGGTAATTAACTGAAAAATATGCAATTTGTTTGGAAAGAGGGCATTCTCAGATTTAATTTTTATTGAATCCAAGAGTCAAAATGTAAATTTGATGATTTGAGTTGGTGATCGAATTTGATATTTTAGGGGATGTGCAAGTTGAAGAATGAATAATTGTTTAGCTTAATGAGAGATGGGGAAGTTAGACTAACATTTTTAATTATTTGAAGTGGGAATTTTCATTAGTTGGATGTGGGACCCAGAAGCAATAAGCTGAAGACTACAGAGCTTTGTCTTTTATGATAAAGATGCATAGTTGGTTAGAAACGTGTTGGAATTTTTTTGCCTTCTCAAAGCATTCTTCCTTTAGGCTCAGTTTGGAAGGAGTACAAATGCAAATACGTAGAGTGCAAAACCTTATATTTTGTATTATTTTGTAACATTATCTACGTATATAACAATTAAAAAAAAAATTATCCACGCATTTGCAGCTACGGACATGTAATTGGGAAATCTATTCAACCTTGACAAAAACATGCCAGTAGCAACTTTTAGTTTCTTATGGAATTTTGGAACTTAAATATACAACTGCAAATTGTCTTCTGTACTGTAATAGAAACTTCTTTCACTAGAGCCTAAGGTTAGAAGTACAAGATGGTGTCACTTTTCTTTTGAAAATAGTCACACCCTTCCATATGTGCTGTGTTCTGTGTATTGCTTATCTCTCATTTAAATCCATCTAATGCTGGAAATGGTTTGACTCTCCCTATATGCTCAATTTATACAAAAAGAATAATATCAAAATTTAGTTATCATTTTGATCAAGGAAATTACTATCTTGTTGACTATAGAATATAGATAGTTATGACATTTTCCAATCTACTGCTCTAAGTTTCATCAACTGTGCTAATTTAAGTAGCCATGCAACAAGCTTGTCCTAATCCCTTTCTACCTGATACGACAATGCTAACCATATCCAAGCATCAAGTTTCTTAAAGTTCTTCTTCAAGCACATATTTCCCCTCAAGCTTTTGTTCTTCTTGAAGTTCTCTTAATCTTTTTTTTTCCCTGTGACATGTTCTCTCTGTTCTGAGTTTGAGAATCCTGGTGATATTTCCAATTTTCTCATATGAGATTTTGTTTCAGTTTGAAAATGCATCAATTTATTTAGTGGGCCAAGCCTTTACTTTTTACATGAAATTTGTATTGTAGTCTTGTTATGAGTGATGGAGCTTACAAATCTTGATTCTCTTGTTAAAATTTCTATGCATATTACTGAAATAAGGTGACAGAACTGCCATGGGCTGAAGTAATATAACAGATATGCTTGTTGATGCATAAGTTATGCCAAATGGCTTCTGTATGCCTTGTCTTAAATGTTTAAAGTATTAGTTTTCTTTGAAAATTGATTATACAACTAATTAGTCAAGGAATTGAGAATGTGAAAATAAGACATCTGGACTTGATCCATCTTGGAATTTAAGCTATGATGGCCCTCAGCTTTATCTGAGTGACAACCCGAAGTTATTCTCTAGTGGAAAGTGTAAGAAAACTTCAATGATAAAAAAATTTTAAAAAACTTCAGACTGAAACAGGAAAAAAAAACCGGAACAGTACCCTCCTAGGCCTAAGTAAAATTAGACAAAAGAGCAACTATAGGGTGTTCTTTCCAGGATTTTGATTTTCACTCCTCAAGGTTTTTTATTCATCCAAACATGACATGGTTTTTCATACATTTTATATTGGCTGAGGCAGTGTCCAAGCACTTGGCCAATGAGTGTTTCCGTTGACATTTGAGAGCATTCAGCTTCAAGAATAAAGGAATATAATGCTGATAATGCTAACAATGACATTTTGTCGCATTATACAAAGTAAAATTTTATTTATTTTATACAAAATAGAAGACCAAAGCCATTTAGAATCATTATACAAGAAAACCTAAGACAATCAATCCTTTTTGGAATTACATGGTATATGTATCCATTTCAGCATCAGTACCATGAAAACAACATAATTCAATTGAACGCAATAGCTTCTTATTCATTTATCTACTATGGGATGGGATATCTGATGCTTCCATACATGGAAGCGGTAATCATTAGGTAGATGAGACAACAAGGACTCTATCAATTTCACATAGTCTCTGAGCACCATCAGGATTCATATTTGTCTTGTCAATGAGATACAAGGGTAAGGTTGGCCCTTATATGTGGATAGCTGACATCCATGCCATTTATCCCAATAGTCAATCAATGTTTCTTGACTTCTTCTGGCTCTTATCACTATTGTGAACTAATCCCTGATCCTGAGGTTTGCACTAAGGACTAGTACCTCCTTATGCTACCATCTCAAGTGATGCTCCTTATTTATAGAACCTACACCTTAGCATTCCAACAAATTTTTGGCTAATTACTTACTGCCATCTCAAATAGTCGCCTCTCCCTGAATGGAGCTTACGTTACTATAATGGCAGAATATTGGTGATGCAGATGTGGGAAAAGGGAAAGAAACCATGGAAGGATAAACCAAGTTTCTTTAAACTCCTACACAAGTTTTAATATTATAATCTTTGGATGATCAATTTGAGTTTTTTCTATAGGGTGAATCATCTTACAAGGGTTAAATAGGCTTAAAGAGTCTTACCAGAGAGTTCTTGGAATTTTGAAAAGTTATGGTTATAGTTGCATCACTTTTCTTGCAATGCAAATTTAGGGGGCCAAAACTTATTTGCTTGATTTGATTTTGATGTCATCATACACACAGGCACACCATACAACAAGATCAAGATTTTGTGAATCTGATGCGTTATGGGAAAGCTATGACTATTTTGTTAATAGGGTGTAAGTCTGTGATGGGATTTGGAAGTTTCTATTTTTGGGTTTATCTTGGAGTTGTCTGTTTAATTTTAATAGGATAGTTAGGGTATTTAGAGTTTGTTTAGGGGTTAGATTCCATATTTGAGTGTTCATATGTGTTATTCATGGATTTGGGTTAGTTTTAAATCAATTGTAGATCATTTTTGGTCAACTTCAATTGGTGTCTGTACTCTGTAAGGGGAAACCCTATCCCTTATATTCATCCTATAAATAGAGTCATCATAATTGAAAATTTGAAAAGCCAGATTTGATGAATAGAAGTTCGGTTTAGTGAATTCTGGTTGTAGCTAGATATCTCTCTCTCTCTCTCCAATTATTTCTTTAAGCAACCTGGTTCTCTGCTCTATGTTCTGCAACAAGATGTCTTTCTTAATTTCTTTCTTCCTGATTCTAAGGTGCTTCACTGTTGGAACCTTACTTCTTGCTTATTCTTTGGTGAATAATAAGGTATTTACTTCTGCATCACCAACCTTCATTCTTAATTACCATTTACTTCAGTCACCTTCCTTCACCCTTGAAGCGCACCACCAGATCTAAAAATTGTGGGATCCCTACCTATTTGCCATTAGTTGACTGATATAATGCTACCAAGATGTAGGATTAAGAGGGTAACAATGGCCTTGGAAGAGTTTAGGACTAGAAGGAAGGATTAAGAGGGGTTAGAGAGGTTCTGGATCAAATCACTGGAGATGCATATCCTTTGTGAGATGGTAAAAAACTAGAAAAATTCTAAAACTAGGTGTAGAGATGGAATTTTTAGTGAAACTTTGTAGAGATGTTTAGAATGCCAGATTGTATTGGACTCCAAACTTTAGAAGGCCTCTCCTTGGCTGGGAGTTGGAGAAATGTTTGGATGTGCTATCTTAACTGCAATCATTGGAAATTAATCCATCAGTTGGTGACACCAGATGGTGGAAGGAATGCGAGGATGGAAAATTTACAGTCAAGTCATTGTATTCCATTCTGATCAGAAATCTGGTTTCAGGGAGTGTGGGCGAAACCAGTGCCCCCAAGGGTGGGAGCCTGTGCCTTGCTAACAGCCAGGGGGTGCTTACTGACTCAGGACATCCTAAAGAGTAGAGGATTTCAATTTCCAATGTTCTTTGCTTGTCTGGAGAGGAAAACATTATTCATCTGTCGTACCATTGCAGCTTCATTTCCCCAATATGGTTCTACTTTTTCAAGCTGTTTAAATTGGATATGTGGTCAATTTCAGATCAGTCTGAAATCTTTGGTTGCTGGCCAAGAATTCAGGGTGGTACTAAGGTCAAATTGATGTGGAGTTGCATTCCATTTGCTGTGTTTTGGGAAGTATGGAAGGAAAAGAAATAGAAGAATATTCAAGAATATGAAGAAAAAAAGTAGAAGAGGTGGTGGCTCGGATCAGCTCTTCAGTGATTGGTTGGGTGTTGATACTGCCAGAATTTCAAGGATTAAATAAAAAAGATTTTGGGGCATATTTTTGGTGTTCTATGAATCCATACAAATCTGGGTTTTTTTTTTTTTGAATTGTTTGCTTTGAAGTTTTCTATGTTTCTATTTTGTTTCTTTCTTGTTTTGGGGGTGACCTCTTGACTCTTGTCACCATTTTAAGCTGTACTCTTCTATTTTAGCAATTTTAGCAAAGAAAAATTTTCTTTATTTATCTTCAAACAAAAAAAAGAAGGAAAAATGGCCAAAACCCCAG